GCTTGATAAGAGCCTTCGCGAGGTGGTTCACAATCTCGATCAAAACCCGCTGACTCTCATCCACTGCAAGGAGACGTTTGTCCAGTTTTTCAATCAAACCCCGAATGTCACGGAGCGCTAGCCTCGTTTCCGCGTCCAAGCCGTTGAAGTTGTTCGCCTCGCGGTGATAGACATTACGCTCTGAAAGTAAATTAGAGACATAAGAGATTAAGATTAAGCAGCCAACCGGTACACCATAGTTAGATGCACAAAACGAGAAACCCATAATGAAACAGTAGGGAAAAGCGACCAAAGTACGATTTACTCCCAATATCATTTCCAACTACAGCACACACTTACGAGATGCCACAGGGGAGTGATCTTCAGGAGTGCTTGCTCGAACCACAGGAGAATGGGTGGCGGTCACCAGTCCGCCAGAAGCACCAATAGCTTCTTCGCCCTGAACTGGAGCAGCAGCCGCCTCTTCCATTTCTTCTGAAACCACGGGTGGGGCTTGCTTCTGACGGGGAAGGGTAGGGACATTATTGTTGTGGCGACGAGAATCAGCCACAGGAGACAGATTTGAGCCATACATCTGGTATCCTTCGAACCTAGCTGGTACACCAGCATGGCGGCGCCTTTTTTCACGGTGTTCTGCTTGAATCGACTCAGGAAGGTCAGCCATGATGAAACGGATAGGTGATACATTTGGGAGTATGAGTGGTGCATATTTATTGTAGTTACCGTGCTGATTCATGCGGCTGGAGTAGCTACATTAGTGGAGCTTGCTTGAGAGACGCACGGTTCCGTTTACTCCACACATAGCGGGGGCCTAAGTACCGTGAGTGTGCCTGAGCAGCTTGGCTTTGGTGACTCAGCTGAAAACCCCAGCGCCAAACCTGAGCTGACAAGGACTGGAAGGCCACACGAAGCGGGAGCATGAGTTACGTGAGCTTGAGCTGAGAAGGACAGGAAGGGGCAACCTCTTTTACAGGTTTCTTGTCCTGCCCTCATCATTTTTGTTTAGCTAAAAGCTACTGTTTACTTTAAAGTCTGACCCGATCTCCATTTCAATTGGCAAGGGGCACCCAAGAACCTCGATGGGGAACTCTAGTATGGACTTAAAAGTCCCGCCCCCAAACCTCCAATTCGAATTGCACAATCAACTTTTTTCTTCCATGTGTGCATCAAACGAAGAAAAAGGTACTGTACTGTGCATGAGCACCAAACTGGCAGTCGGGACGCAGCGCTCGAGGGTCCCATCTGGACCTAGCCCAAGTTCGAGTTTACAGGCACCAGTGTTGCGAGTTGCGATGGTGCACTGTTGAGCGGCCTGTACCGGGTGGGCCGTTGGCTGAAAAAACTGACAGCTTGGACTGTCGCGTGTACCTGGGAGTGAGGAGGGTGGGCGATTTCACGAGGATCGCCTGTACGTGTACAAAAAAAGTGGCGGGGTAGGTGGTGGGGGGGGGGGGGGAGATACACGCACCGCTAGACCAACTGCAAAAGCGCGATGCCAAACTTCACCTTCGACCCTGTACAGTATGTGCGTCACGACTCACCTCGCCTCAGACATACCTCACTCGACATGCCAAAGGTCACCCCGCGCTTGAATCTGCGCCACACCTCACCACCTGCCTGTCACGTCCAGTGATTCTGGCGCTTCATGCTGATGCGCTGTACAGAAATCACGCTAAAACAGACCAATCAGAACAGCTTGCGCGCTCATGCTGCTCGAATGAATGGTCTGGAGAAAATGCTAACCAATCAGTATGAGGGCGCAATGTTGAACAGTAAACCGCCATCACAGCAGGAAGCTCCTGAAACTGGGGTAGTGGACTAATATGGAATCAAAGTTGTATCATACAAAATGTTCTGAGTTATGAAAGAGAGTGCGTATGTAAACGAATAACGAGACTGTGGTTAACTGATCTGAGAATACACAGAAGGCACAGACTAATGTAGGGATTAGCCTAGCTAGGAGGGAACCTCGGACGAGCGAGGTTGGGTGCAGGTTTGGCGATGGAAAAAAAGCCGAAGGCGACGCGAGGAGCCTCGGCAGCGTTGAAATCGGCCGAACGTGCAAAGTTCGAAAATCGGGTTGTACGCAATTTCCTACTACATCATATTACCAAGCCATAGGAACTGGTTTGACCTCGTTAGCACAACTACGCAGCTCGTGGCGCATGTTTGTGCGTTTGCTGGCCTTAACCTGTGCAAAGATAGGCATGTGCGCAACATGTCACTGCGCCAACGTCCGAATGCCTTTTTTATCACTATTTTTTCATATAGTTCTCTACTACATCCTATTCCCTAGCCATAGGAACTGATTTCACCTCGTTACCACAATTACGCAGCTCGTGGCGCATGTTTGTGCGTTTGGTGGCCTGAATCTGTGCAAGGATAGGCCTGTGCGCAACATGTCACTGCGCCAATGTCTGAATGCCTTTTTTGCCACTATTTCTTCACACAGTTCTCTACTACATCCTATTCTCTAGCCATAGGAACTGATTTCATCTCGTTAGCACAACTACGCAGCTCGTGGCGCATGTTTCTGCGTTTGCTGGCCTGAAGCTGTGCAAGGATAGGCCTGTGCGCAACATGTCACTGCGCCAACGTCTGAATGCATTTTTTGCCACTATTTCTTCACACAGTTCTCTACTACATCCTATTCTCTAGCCATAGGAACTGATTTCATCTCGTTAGCACAACTACGCAGCTCGTGGCGCATGTTTGTGCGTTTGCTGGCGTGAATCTGTGCAAGGATAGGCCTGTGCGCAACATGTCACTGCGCCAACGTCTGAATGCCTTTTTTACCACTTTTTCTTCATACTATTCTCTACTACATCCTATTCCCTAGCCATAGGAACTGATTTCATCTCGTTAGCACAACTACGCAGCTCGTGGCGCATGTTTCTGCGTTTGCTGGCCTCAAGCTGTGCAAGGATAGGCATGTGCGCAACATGTCACTGCGACAACGTTTGAGTGCCTTTTTTGCCACTATTTCTTCACACAGTTCTCTACTACATCATATTCCCTAGCCATAGGAACTGATTTCATCTCGTTAGCACAACTACGCAGCTCGTGGCGCATGTTTCTGCGTTTGCTGGCCTGAAGCTGTGCAAGGATAGGCCTGTGCGCAACATGTCACTGCGCCAACGTCTGAATGCCTTTTTTGCCACTATTTCTTCACACAGTTCTCTACTACATCCTACTCCCTAGCCATAGGAACTGATTTCATCTCGTTAGCACATGCACGCAGCTTCATGCGAGCTTGCTCCGAGGCAGATACGTGCTCGAAGCGATCTCGTAAGGCTGCGCCCCACTCCTTCCACGTGCGTATCGTGGTCACTCCGAAGATTGATTGTGCCACTTGATTAGTCACTGTTGAGGTCCCGTCTGCCGCATGCGTCACACCTGTCGGCGTCCCCGTTTCCAAGGTTCGGCACCACCATTCAAGCGCTGCACCTCGAAGAAGCGAAACTGCGTAATTAATACGCGTGGCGTCGTCATTAACTCCTGCTGCAGTGAAGAAGACGTCGACCCCGAACAGCCACCCCTTTACTGTAACCGTCTTGTCCGTAGGATTAAACGCTGGCGGGTTGACGGGTTTTACCTTGATCGTCGTTACTGCAACTGGTGCTGCTGCCGCTCGCTGCCTGTCTTCCTCTTCGAAGTTACGTGTGAGCGCGTACAAAAGATACAAAATACTACATGCCAAATATCAAGCGACCCTTATGTAATTTTTTCCTCACGGTGCTGTACTTTAACGACGGTGAAGGTAGAGAAATACCGTACATTCTTTTGAATCAGATATTTGTTTGGATCTAAGGTGGTTGTTGCACTCACTTTAATAGAATTTGAATACATTATTAACAAAAACATCGTCACCTACTGGAACTACATGCGCGACACGAAGGATATTGTCAATGTCAAGTACGTGATACTCATTCTCAGCATCCTCCCATGTCATGATCGGGCAGTGAGATATGTGAGTCTCACCGGTGGCCTTGTAGAAGCGCACAAAGGCCAACTCTTTTTGTTCCACCTCTCTTGCATGTGGAACAAACACGTCGAGAACAAACAGCAATATCAATCGAGCATGCCAAATGACCTTTTTCCTGGACAGCTCGCCACCGCTGGTGACATCCTCCTCACCCTGGACCGCTACATCGTTAAACCATGGCCTGCCCCCGAAGGAAGAACACGCTCGCACATAGTGAGATTGACTTGAGTATTTGGTGAAATCTTCGTCCCCCGCTATCGCCATCCCTTTCTTTATGCGCAACTGAGTACTTAGAACCTCTCCATCACTCTCCATGGTCTCCAAAATCTGCTGCAACTTAGACATGTCACCTGGAGCTTCTCGGATGTGTGCAGCCCATTCTGAACACTGTGGATCGGCTTCCTTCCAATTCACCTTGAAAGACGTGCTTGCAAGCGTGTTCTTTCCTGTATCAATTGCCTGCAAACCCAAGGAGGGTATCATGAGCTCACGCACATCATTATACAAGGATATCCCAAAATGGTTGAGCATATGTGGTTGATTTTTCAATATTCTGCACCCACCTGCTGCAGGGCGACCATTCGTTGAGCTCCATCCTCTGCCTTGTCGTCAGATGCACTTAGAATGCGCAGCATCTGTGCACGAACAGTATGCTTCACAATTTGGGGCATAGCATCCCGCTTGTTTGTTCCGCGGTAAGCTCGTTTCACGAGTGGTTGGTGCAAATACTCAAACATATTGGCGTTGTAATGAACGGGCACACCGGAGCGACGGATGTCCTCAACGACATGTGCGAATGAATGGACTTTGGTGATATTGAAATCCGAAGCTTGAGCATCACCAAACACCTCCTTCAAGAGTGGGATCAGCCTGTGTGCAAACAACAAACAAATCCAGGATACAGGACGAAATAGGGCAGCAGTGTGAAGGGGGATGGAGCGGCATGGAGGAATAGCGCGTGAGGGAGGCAGCTGGAGGTCGGAAGTGCAAGTGAGGTAGGGAGCTGCAGGGAGGACTAGCAAGTGACGGAGGGAGCTGCAGGGAGGAATAGCAAGTGAGAGAGGGAGCTGCAGGGAGGAATAGCAAGTGAGGGAGGGAGCTGCAGGGAGGAATAGCAAGTGAGAGAGGGAGCTGCAGGGAGGAATAGCAAGTGAGGGAGGGAGCTGCAGGGAGGAATAGCAAGTGAGGGAGGGAGCTGCAGGGAGGAATAGCAAGTGAGGGAGGGAGCTGCAGGGAGGAATAGATGAGGAGTGAGGGAGGGAGCTGCAGGGAGGAATAGCAAGTGAGGGAGGGAGCTGCAGGGAGGAATAGCAAATGAGGGAGGGAGCTGCAGGGAGGAATAGCAAGTGAGGGATGGAGCTGCAGGGAGGAATAGCAAGTGAGGGAGGGAGCTGCAGGGAGGAATAGATGAGGAGTGAGGGAGGGAGCTGCAGGGAGGAATAGCAAGTGAGGGAGGGAGCTGCAGGGAGGAATAGCAAATGAGGGAGGGAGCTGCAGGGAGGAATAGCAAGTGAGGGATGGAGCTGCAGGGAGGAATAGCAAGTGAGGGAGGGAGCTGCAGGGAGGAATAGATGAGGAGTGAGGGAGGGAGCTGCAGGGAGGAATAGCAAGTGAGGGAGGGAGCTGCAGGGAGGAATAGCAAATGAGGGAGGGAGCTGCAGGGAGGAATAGCAAGTGAGGGATGGAGCTGCAGGGAGGAATAGCAAGTGAGGGAGGGAGCTGCAGGGAGGAGTAGATGAGGAGTGAGGGAGGGAGCTGCAGGGAGGAATAGCAAGTGAGGGAGGGAGCTGCAGGGAGGAATAGCAAATGAGGGAGGGAGCTGCAGGGAGGAATAGCAAGTGAGGGATGGAGCTGCAGGGAGGAATAGCAAGTGAGGGAGGGAGCTGCAGGGAGGAATAGATGAGGAGTGAGGGAGGGAGCTGCAGGGAGGAATAGCAAGTGAGGGAGGGAGCTGCAGGGAGGAATAGCAAATGAGGGAGGGAGCTGCAGGGAGGAATAGCAAGTGAGGGATGGAGCTGCAGGGAGGAATAGCAAGTGAGGGAGGGAGCTGCAGGGAGGAATAGCAAGTGAGGGAGGGAGCTGCAGGGAGGAATAGATGAGGAGTGAGGGAGGGAGCTGCATGGAGGAATAGCAAGTGAGGGAGGGATCTGCAGGGAGGAATAGCAAATGAGGGAGGGAGCTGCAGGGAGGAATAGCAAGTGAGGGAGGGAGCTGCAGGGAGGAATAGCAAGTGAGGTAGGGAGCGGCAAGGAGGAATGAATAGCAAGTCAGGTAGGGAGCGGCAGGGAGGAATGAATAGCAAGTCAGGTAGGGAGCGGCAAGGAGGAATGAATAGCAAGTCAGGTAGGGAGCGGCAGGGAGGAATGAATAGCAAGTCAGGTAGGGAGCGGCAAGGAGGAATGAATAGCAAGTCAGGTAGGGAGCGGCAGGGAGGAATGAATAGCAAGTCAGGTAGGGAGCGGCAGGGAGGAATAGCAAGTGAGGGAGGGAGCTGCAAGGGATGAGGAGAGGGAAGAGGATGGGCTATGCACGGAGAATTTGCCAGGTAGGATGGGGGACCTGTAGGTGGACGTGGAGATAGGCGAGTAGGGGGTGAATAAAAAAGGAGGGCGAAGCAGGGACGGTATGAGAGGGTGGAGGAGGGAGCAACAGAGAGGGATGGAGAGGTAGGGTTTGAGAGAGTCAGAGTGACGGGATGAGGGGGGGAAACATAGGGAGAGTAGTGGGAGAGGAGAGAGGGGTAAAGTGGGGGTGTGGAGAGAGGAGAGCGGGCGAAAAACGGATGGATTGTGAGGGAGAAACATACTTTTTTGATGGCACTGTCGAGCTCGGCCAACGTGCCGTCTGTGTGATACCATCTTCTGCATGTCAGCATGTAGCAGTCAACAAACGCCGCGACTGCATCGACAATCTTCTGATCCACTATACCGGCAAGCACGATGGTTACGACCTGCATCACGGCGCGGTGCTCGAAAGCCTGGAACTTAGCAGCACCAGAAAAATAGCCGCCCTTATCCCGCTTTGGAAGACGGAATCCTGAGATGCGTGTTGCATCGCCCAGATCCTGCAGTGCCTTGTCAAGAGCCTTCAACACTTTCGTGTCATCCTTGTACATGACTCGAATGCATGACACGATGTGCATAAAGATGCCGAGGTCCAGCGCGTGCATGACTTCCACAAGCAGTGCACGGTAGGGATTTCCGACTTCAGTCCCTCCCAAGTGGAAACCCCAAATGGCAGCCTACACAAAAGGAAGTTCAGAATTGATAAAATTATTTACACAATGACTCACACACAAATTATGGCTTGAGGAGTGATGGAGATGGACTGATGAGCGAGAGAGATGGGGTGGAAAGTGAGGAGGATGGACTGATGAGCGACAGAGATGGGTTGATGATTGAGTGAGGAGGATAGAATGATGAGCGAGAGAGATGGGATTGCGAGTGATGTAGATGGGTTGGATGCGTGCGGGAGATTGGTTGGCGAGCGCATGCCTAAACTTTGCAACGCATACAAGCACAGTATGAGGACAACTATGGGTGCTGGAGTGCAGAGACATCCCCTTAAAGCACTCACTCTGACAGGGTGGGTGCTGATAGCTTTTGAAGCGTCATTTCTTGCAGTCGGGGCAGTGATGGCCAGCAACTCATCCACCTTTGCCCGTTGATCCATCTCCGTTCGGTAAACCAAGGGGACTTGCATGTTGCTGATGTCCTCTGTCTTTACCAAGCATTTGTGACACAAGAATTTTGCTTTGTGACTTGCAAAAGTGCCGGCGTGTTTGCAAGCCTCAGGTTGATCGGCCACGATAGCATATACGAACGGATACACGACGTACTCAGCTCCGTACGGGTCTTTTACAATCATCCCCCTGTTTTGAAATAGGGGTAGCACCCGAAATACCGGGAATGATGGGCTGATGAGTGAGTGAGATGGGGAAAATGAGTGAGTTAGATGGGGTGATGAGTGTGGGAGATAGGGTGATGCGTGAAGGAGATGGGGTGATGAGTGACTGAAATGGGGTGATGAGTGAGGGAGATGGGTTGATGATTGCGGGAGATGGGGTGATGCGTGACTGAAATGGCGTGATGAGTGAGGCAGATGGGGTGATGTGTGACTGAAATGGGGTGATGAGTGAGAGAGATGGGGTGATGAGTGAGAGAGATGGGGTGATGAGTGATTGAAATGGGGTTTCGAATGAGGCAGATGGGGTGAAACCGTGAGGGAGATGAGGTGATGAGTGAGAGAGATGGGGTGATGAGTTATTGAAATGGGGTTTCGAATGAGGCAGATGGGGTGAAACCGTGAGGGAGATGGGGTGATGAGTGAGGCAGATGGGTTGATGAGCGAGGGAGATGGGATGATGAGTGAGGGAGATGGGGTGATGTGTGATTGAAATGGGGTGATGAGTGAGGCAGATGGGGCGATGAGTGAGAGAGATGGGGTGATGAGTGATTGAAATGGGATGATGAGTGAGGGAGATGGGGTGATGAGTGAGAGAGATGGGGTGATGAGTGATTGAAGTGGGGTTTCGAGTGAGGCAGATGGGGTGAAACCGTGAGGGAGATGGGGTGATGAGTGAGGCAGATGGGTTGATGCGCGAGGGAGATGGGATGATGAGTGAGGGAGATGGGGTGATGAGTGAGGGAAATGAGATGATGAGTCAGGGAGGTGGGGTGATAAGTGAGAGAGATGGGGTGATGAGGGAGTGAAGTGGGTTCACAAGTGCTAGACGCGAGCTTAAAGGGGAGAGATGCATTAGGAGGATGCGGTGATGGGTGAGGGGATTTGACTTATAATGGAGGAGACGTTCTAATGGGGGAGGGGGAACATGGGAAAATGAGTGAGTGAGATGGGCTGAAACCGAAAGGACTTGGGATGATGGTAATATGCTTACAGAATTTGCAGACAGAGGTTTCAATCACGGCTGAAACTTACTCATGAGAGGCTTTTTTGAGGTCTTCGAGAACATGCTCCATTGCCTTGTGAAACACATCTCGTCGAAACTTTTTTCCAGCCTCTGTTTTGGCATCCACGCCGGTGAGAGGGGGCAGCATAGCTACCTTCCGGTGCCCGTGCGGCTGCCATCTGTTCTTCACTGAAATACTGCCAAGGGTGCAGTATACGGGATGCCCAACTACTCGCCCATCATTGCTAAGGTTGGTTGCATCACTATAGATGATCACCGGTACAGCTAGCGCTCCTCTTGGAACCTTGGATTGCCATTCAATCCAGCAGTTTCCCGTTTCTGGCCCTGCATAAATGCGCTGACCATCCCGAGTGTAAAGCGCTTGAGGCCTGTGAACAAAGGCCAAATGATTCTCGCGGTCGGAAAACATAGATTCCACAGCCTTCGCTAGAGAAGTAACGTACAGAGTCGCCCTAACATCGGTCCCCAAACTGACATCTATAGCCTCCCACTCCTGTATCCCGGTCATCTCAGCCAACATCTGCTTCTCGTACTTCTCCAAGGCAGCTCTGTTCTTGTAAGAAGGTTTTACAAAACGGCGATCATGCATGACTGCTAGAATCAAGTTGGTATCATGCGTGGAAAGGCCCATACCTCCGTTGCACTTATTGAAAGCGAGCATCAAGGCCTTGTCTGGATCGTACCTCTCCTCCTCTGGTTCTACCAGCTTCTCCACACCCACGAAAGCGTTTCTAAGCGGTATCTCCTCGTCTTCCCCCACACTAGGAAATTGGAACGTCGCAGCTGGTGTAGGCGCACGAGTGGCCCTCTCTTCATTTCTCGCCGTGTTTCGCAAGGACTCCAAATTGGCGGCTCCATCGGAACGGTGTTGGCGTACATACTGGAACACTTCCTCATCAATACTCTCATCATGCCTGCTGCGTTTCCTACATGCTTGCTGATGGTTCTCCAATCCTCTACCACTCTTAAACGGTCGTCCGCAACCGCAGGTGAACACCATCAAGAGAATAAGAAATCGAATCATTGATTCATTAGTATAGGTACAAGCAGGATCCTCAGGATGCTGAACATCATCTACAACAACGACCGATCAGGCTTGAGTGCTCTACCTAACAATTGCGTCTAGGAAGAACACCCTAAGATGCCGAAATGTCTTGAGCAACGGTTGACCAAAGCTCCTGCATGAAGGAAACCGAGGAAACTAAATCAGACTATGTAGTCGTCCCTTGAAAGAAAGCGGGAAATCTGGAAAAACATGATCTCTAGATAAGCTGAGCCGCAATGTAATGAACCTACAGTGTGCCTAAACGGTTGTTAAAAAGCGGGAACGTCGGCGCCAAGATAGGACTAACGGCTGGAGCTCTAACCTAAAAACCTAGACTTAGACGAAGCCGTTGGGACATGTTGGCTGAAGTCAGAACAAGGCACAGAGTGAGAGCGTGTTTGTCACTGCTGTTCAAACTAGATTACGGGTCTGGTTACCTGAAACTGTGACGCTCAACCTAACTGTGACTGAGGGAATGCGTTTTTCAGTCAACTCAGCCCTGGGTTTTGATCGCGCCCTAAACCCCCGTGTCAGAACGTCACAAATTTCCAGTGTGCGAACTGTGAACCACGCAAGCGACGCCCCGAGCCTGCAGGTAACGGTTCGTTAATGCCGTTTCTGCTTGATTCTGATTTCGGCAGATTTCGCGGGAGTTCAAGGCGTCGTCAACACTGCGCTTTTTCCCGTTCGTTGAATAGCCAATCAAATGCTTTCAACGTTTATTGTCGCGCCTCTTCCAGTCACAATTTCACCGCTCGTCAGTATTTTTCAATTCGGTTTCGCTTTGTTTAGAAGAGAACCAATCACATGTGCGCATCATGTTACACTCGTGTGTGTACAGTCACAGCCCCACCCCACGTCCTTTCGTGCCTGAACTTTTTCAATCGCGCTGATATTGTCCACGTGTCAACCAGGTTTCCGATGGAGCAACTGCCAGGATGTATAACCGAGGGTTTGACGGTCAGCAGATTGCAAAATTGGCCAATTCTCGATTCCGAGGCAACACAATCTACGATTTACCGCCTGGCTATCATCAGCCCCCCCCCCCCAAAGTTGCGATGGATCTTGTGCCGTTCGAACAGCCTTGACAGCGCGGATTTTTCGTACAATCGCCTGACCGGAACCGTTCCAGCCAACTGCTTCAAGTCCGCGAATCCTGTGCAGTTTGGCCTCTTCTTAAAGCGACGGTGCACATTTGCCACCCAAAACCCAGAACCCTGGCGAACTGTTACTGCGGATGGAAAGTGTCCGCACGAAATCCTGGTTTTCGCCAGCCAGCACTTTCGCGCTGGCAAGCCTGGTTCAAAAAAAAAACTTCTGAGCCCAACACTGCCAAAAGTTGCCCGTCGCTTTAAGCCACAACAATTTCTCGGGCAGCTTGCAGCCGTTTTCGATCCTGCCCACGTATATCGTATATGCGGACCTCGGATTCAACAAATTTACAGGGAGAATTCCCCAAGGCCTCACCACTTTACCCGAGCTGCGATATTTGGACCTCGGGGGAAACGCCCTGACAGGTAAGCCTGACTGATTTTCACTCTTCTTGTCCGCATTTCTGCCCCATCCTTGCTCGCTCCTACCTTGCCTCTCCCATCCCTCAACCTAGTCTGATTTCTCATCACTTTTATTTCCACTCGACCTCATCTTCTCTACCGTTTCTCACCTTCCGCTCACGCCACATCCCCACCTTCTGCCAGGCCCATCAGACCCTCACTGTCCTCAACCCTATTTGTGCTTTCTCACGCCTCTTCCCCCTACGTTCCAGCCTCTCCTCTCCCTGCTCCGCACTGCACGCCCCATCCCCCTCTTCTGCCACGCCCAGCAGGCCCTCTCCTTCCTCAACCCTAACTTTGTGTGAATCTGATTTCCCCTGCACCCTGCACTGCACCCCACTACCCACTCCTCCCCGCCTTCTGCCACGCCCAGCAGACCCTCTCCTTCCTAAACCTCTCCCCCAATGCTCACTCCGCCCCGCCCACCCGTCTCTCCTCTCCCCCCCCCCCCCCTTTTTTTGACTTTTGCCTCCCTCTCTCCTCCCCCTCCCGCTCCCCCTCTTCCCACTCTCTGCCCTCCATTTTAATCTCTGCTCTTTGTTCCCCCCCTATTCCATCCGTGTATTTCCTCTTACCTCCCTCCCCTTCACAAGCCCACAGGCCCTATCCTGCAAGGTCCGGCAAGCCCTTGCATTCCTCAATCTGCTTCTGAAAATCCTAAGAAAACAGATTCAGCAAGCCCTTGCATTCCTCAACCACATTCCTCTTTCGCAATTCTCATCACTCCCATTCCCACTCCCCCCGGTCTCCCATACCTGGTACTCATCCCTCGCCCCTTCACTCCCCCAACAGGACCCATCCCCACCTTCTGCCAGCAGGCCCTCACCTTCCCCAATCCAATCTCACCTTCTCATCCCTCGTGATTCTTTTTCCTTCTATCTCCCATCCCACACCCCACAGGCCCCATCCCCGCCTTCTGCCAGGGCGGGCAGCCCCTCACCTTCCTCAACCTCGCCTCCAACGCCCTCTCCGGCCCGCCCACCCCACTCTCCTCCCCCTCCTGTTCTAGATCGCTCGAGTTCCTCTACCTCTCCTCCAACCGCCTCTCCAGCTCCATCCCCGCTACAATCAGCTCCTTTATCTTCCTGAAGCGGGTACTGCTCGACAAGAACGCACTTACAGGAGCCATCCCAGCAGGAGTGGGCAAAATGGAGTGGTTACAGGGACTTGGGTTGTCCTATAACAGCCTATCGGGAAAAAATCCTGCAATTTGGCCAGCAAGTGTACAAAACGTGCTGCTGGCAGGGAATCGGCTGTCAGGGGCTCTTCCGGCTGCTCTGAGCAAGTTGAAGAGAGGTTCGTTCAAGCCAGGGAACCCCAACCTGTGCGGGACACCACTGCACCCGTGTGCATAGAAGTTAGAATCATCCGTGCTTGTGCTTATCATCAGATGCAAAGTGTGAGCAAGTTCAAGAGAGGCGGCGCGACATGTGCTGCTACTACTACCTTCCTGCCTGTGAGGCAGTGTGACACGTGCTGCTGGCAGGGAGTCTGCTACCAGGGGCTGTTCCGGCTGCTCTGAGCAGCAGCAGCAGCACCAGCAGAAGAGGCAAGTCCACCAGTTCCAGCAGCACCAATTGAGCACCAGTTTAAGGCGCCCTTCGAGACATTCACTACTCCTGACCTGACAACACTGGGGGAAAGGGCATGGGAGAAAACAGGGGGAAAGGAAAGGGTTTGCTGCCCCCCTCGTTCTTCAAGTTCACGCACTCCCTCCCACCATTTTCTTATCCCTTTAAAGGCTGGAGCCCTTTTGGCAAGGCTTCTGGACCTAGGTGGGAAATTGACAGTATGGCTGCAGCTGCGGCCTCTGGGGTTGACGAGTCAGAATTGGAGATTGATGATCGCCCGAGGCTGATCAATCTGCAGCAATGTAAGAATTTGGATTCACTCTCGTCGATTTACATCTTGTGTGTGCGGATGCAACTTTTAAACATTGATGTTGTTTTGTTGCGTGCAGATAACGCAATGGCGTGGTTCGCACTGATATCGGGCTTTCTCATGCTTGCGAATACGTGGAATCTGCCAGCCTGTGAAACCCGTCTCCCCGTTTTTAGTATGTTTACATAAAGTATAATGTGACAACTATAGGACTAGCAGTATTCATATTCTAGTTGAGTGGCACTATAACGAGAAGCTGAAATGATCGAAAGCACAAAAGTTGCTTGACTGGGATTGACGCTTGAGAGTTGTGTTGTGGCAACTATTGCCAGCCAAGTGCAGAAAATATCGGCTTTGTCCAACCAACCTGACAGGCTGGACGCTGACTGGTCATCGGGAAATGCGGTTTTAGGCTGAGCGTGGCCCGCGTCGCACCCCACCGAAAACTGCTCCCGCACATGGCCACATGGCACACCCCCAGTCCCGAGAAAGAAAACACGATCTTGCCTCGATCACCGTGCTGCATCATACTGTAACGCTAAGAGACCGCATCTAAACTTTAATAAATCGCTACTTTAGCACCGCTGGACTCGCTTGTTGCGCCATACCCGTGCCTTGCCGAGCCGTCCCCGCCTGCTCCACCATCCATCCAGCCAACCCCCTTTTAGCTCCAACTTACCAATCAACTTCCCCCCTGGATAAATCTAACCTCACCCAACCCAACCTAAACGACCCCAATCCATAGTAAGCCCGTCGCTTGCAGCCAAACATGCTGCTGCTGATACAGCGGCCACTTTGCTTATCGCGGTCGCAGCACTAACGTTCAGCACACACGCATAGCACGATCAGGCACTGGTCAGGTAGGTGAACCTCCTCCTGTCAAACTCCTATTTTTAGGGTCAGCTCGTATTCCATCTCTATTCGTTCTTTTCATCTCGACTTCCTCGCTAGATACGCACCATATCAGCCTTTATTCTGGCGTTTCTTTTTTTGTCAACATTAGTTATTTCTACAAGGCACCCGTACGCTTGCAAATAATGGCTAGTAACGCGAACTATCTTGAAATCGCGCGCTCGACCGCCGTTACTTACGGCGCGTTGCGCGCTCGCGCTAGTGCTACAGCTTTTTTCCTGCTGCTACTCCTCTACTGCTCACCGACGACGGCTTTATGGCCCATATCGAGACAGCTTGTATCGAAGCTGCATGCTGCTCGCCGCGGACGAGGAGCCTCCGCGCGGACGGTTCTGCCTCCCGCGGCGCAACTGTTCGTCGCGCGGAGGGCGGAGAAAGCATCCGCGGAGCAAGTTTCACCTACGGAAAGAGCATTTTCCGCGGAGCGCACGGAAGCGGCGTCCGTGGACGGCGGAACCAGCGGCGGAGCCAGCTCTCCTCACAGCCTGTCCACGAGTTTAGGGTTGCGCACATCTGCAGCCGCGCCGCAGGCTTCGGCGGCTAACACTGCGGCTCTTAAGGCGATTTTCACGGCCGCTCTGCTGCCCATCCCGGCGAACAAGCCGAACGCGTGCGCGTGGCCCGGCGTGACATGCGCCGCGAACGGCGCTGTTGTAGAACTACGCCTCACGAGCACCGTCAGCCGTCTTTTGCTCCCTCCAACGCCTCGGCTTTGCAACCGTACTGCGCGCGAACGCGGCGGGAAATCTCCCGCGACCCTCTCCGCATCTGTCGGCCAGTTAACAGGTCTCACCAATCTTCGTATGTCTAACCTCTGGCTTGCCGGCTCGGTCCCTGAATCGCTTTCCAAGCTTACAAAGCTCTTCGCTCTCGATCTCCAGGATAACTGCTTCGCTGGTCCACTTCCCGTCGCCTTTTTTCGCCTGCCGAGGCTTTACGATCTGACCGCGGCGCGAAATTTCTTCTCCGGCGGGTTACCACAACGTGCAGCTGCGTACGCCGCGATGGTTACGCTAGGTACTCTGGATCTCGGGATTAATTGGCTTTCCGGGCCAATTCCTGCTGCCCTCGCGACGCTGCCGACGCTTCAGGGGTTACTTTTAAACACGAATCGGCTATCTGGGAGAATTCCTGCTGCGCTGCTAAAAAGGGAACTGGCGGCACTTGTTTTAGATCGGAACCAGCTTTCTGACGACCTTAGCGGGCAGCAAATAAAAGCTGGTCTCATTGGCTTAAGCCGGAACAAGCTGACCGGGAACTTCAACACGATCCGGCTCAGCGATTTCCTGACCTTCATTGACGTTTCAGACAATTTATTTTCGGGCTCCTTTCCGCAGATCCTGTGCCGTTCGGGCAACCTCGATAGCGCAGACTTTTCGCGCAATCGCCTGACCGGAGCCGTACCAGCGAACTGCTTCAAATCTACTAATCCTATTCATCTTGGCCTCTTCTTAAGCCACAACAATTTCTCGGGCAGCTTGCAGCCGTTTTCGAACCTGCCCAAGGACATCGTTGAGGTGGACCTGGGATTTAACAAATTTACAGGGAGAATTCCCCAAAGCCTCGCCACTTTACCTGAGCTGTTCGAGTTGAATCTGGGGGCAAACGCTCTAACAGGTAAGCTGACTGAAGAATAGCAGGTTTTCCAAATGAGGTATAACTTCTTGTGGAACCAGTATGTAACAACTTCAACGTGTTTTCGTCCAGTCTTTCCCTGTGTGTGCATTCTGCTAGAATCAACCACTTGGCACGGCAAATCTGTGTTCTTCCTGTTAACTTGTTCACTCTCCTTCTTCACTCTCCTTGTCCATACTTCTGCTTCACCCGCCCCATCATTCCTCCTATCTCCCCTCTCCCACCCCTCAGGCCCCCACCTTCCTCATCCCTAGATCTGTCTTCTCATAGCTCTGTTTTCCACTCCACTATCTCTCCTCTCCCTGCTCCTCGCCCCATTCCCTACCAGGTCCCATCCCCACCTTCTGCCAGGCCCAGCACACCCTCACCTTCCTCAACCCTAAATCCAAATGGCCTTTTTCATTACTCCTCTTCCTGCTTTCCTGCTCTCCTCTCCCTATTCCTCCCCTGCAAGCTGCATCCCTTCCTCCTGGCAGGCCGATCAAGTGCTCACCTTCCTCACCCCAATTTCTGCTTTCTCACTGACTCTTTTTCCTACTTTCCCGCTCTCCTCTCCCTGTTCCTCACCTCACTTCCCACCAGGCCCCATCCCCCTCTTTCTGCCAGGCCCAGCAGGCCCTCACTTTCTTCCTCAGTCTCACCTTCAACGCCCTTTCCGGCCCGCCACCTCTCCCTCCTCCCACCCTCCTGTTTCACCCCCCAACTCTCCTCCCCCTCCTGCTACCCCTCCCTCGCCGCCCTCCTGCTCTCCCTCTATTTGACTCTTTTCCATCCCTGTGCTTGCTCCCACTTCCCCTCCCCCACCCCACAGGCCCGATCCCCGCCTTCTGCCAGGCCCAGCAGTCCCTCACTTACCTCAATCTCGCCTCCAACGCCCTCTCCGGCCCGCCCACCCCACTCTCCTCCCCCTCCTGCTCCGCCTCCCTAGAGATCCTCTACCTCTCTTCCAACCGCCTCTCCGGCCCCATCCCCGCTACAATCAGCTCCTTTACTCTCCTCAAGGGGCTACTCCTCGACAAGAACATGCTTACAGGAGCAATCCCAGTTGGTGTGGGCAAAATGAATCATCTGCAAGGACTTGGGTTGTCGTATAACAGGCTACCAGGAAAAATTCCCGCGGTTTGGCGTACCCCACTAACGATTGGCGAGCAAGTACCTGCAATTGACGAGCACGAACCAAGATGAGAATTTGCAGTCAAGAATCGAAGCCCCCCACCCACGCACCCACCCATCCACCCACCCATCCACCCACCCACCCACCAACCCACCCACCCACCCACCCACCCACCCACCCACCCACCCACCCACCCACCCACCCACCCACCCACCCACCCACCCACCAGCATTTTCCCTTCCACTTGGTCCCGTCGGCATTAGCAGGTGGCCGCTGGAAGTGGAACCAGCCGTTTGTCCCTCGCCGTTAATCACCTCATGAAATCAATTGAAGCCTGCGAAAGGGGGGAGAAGGGGAGGGGGGGTTGGCGGAGGACGAGGGGGGGGTGTGGGGTGTGGATTGAGAGGAGGAAGCACAGCAGCTGGAACCAGTCGTTGTCCCGCGCCTTGCTCTTGACATACTCGATTAAGGCCTGGGAGGGAGGGAAGAAGGGGAGGTGGGGGGGAGGGTGGGAGAGTGGATCAAGAGAAGGAAGCACAACAGCTGGAATTAGTCGTTGTCCCACGCCTTGTTCATCTACACGTAATAGATTAGAGCATGCAAGGGGGGAACGAAGGGGGAATGGGGAGAGTGGGGAAGGGGGGGAATGTGGGTGTTGGGTCGAGCGGAAACAAATGGCAGCTGGAACCATCCAGTCTTTGCCCGCGCCGTGTTCATCTTCACGTACTTCATCAAAGCCTTGGGGGGGGGGGGAGTGGCGGGGCGTGGGAGGGAGAAGGAGAGGTGGGGGGTGGGTGAAGTCGGGTGGGGGCTACTCATGTGCGCCTTGTTCATCTTCACGTAATTCATCAAAGCCTGGGAAGGAGGAGAAGGGGGAAACGGGTTGTGTGTGAGGAGTGGATGGAGAGGAGGAAGCACAACAGCTGGAGGAATTAGTCGGTGTCCCGCGCCTTGTTCATCTTCACGTGCTCCATCAAAGCCTTGGTTGGGTGGGGGCGGGGGGGTGGTGGGGGGGGAGAAGGGCGAAAGGGGAGGAGGTGTGTGGTCCAGTCGTTACCCCGCGCCTTGTGTATCAGCGCCGTTGAGTCGAATCAGAACTCAGCTCATCCCTCCCCTCTGTGAATCGTTCTTATCACCCATATTAAACAGCACTACCATGAGCCGCCGGTTCCACCCATGCTAAACAGCACCATCATGAGCCGCCGGTTCCATTTGGTTCACCCAGGGTTCGTTCCGACCCACGTAAGCAAACACAACCACGTGGCATTGCCCTTACTATGACCGCACCTGTCCCGATTCAGTGTTTTACTTCACCCGCGACTTGTTGCTTCCACTTGGTCGCCTCGAGACTCGTTGTGACGCATCTTCACCTGAATTGTCCCTCGTTCCGAGGCTCGTTCCGAGGCTCGTTCCGAGGCTCGTTCCGGGCTCGTTTCAACGCACTTGTAACTCCTCCTTGAGTCGCTGCTTCCATTGCTTCGCGACCCTGCATACGGTCAGAAGCGGAATATTCTGATCCGAACCGTGGATTAGGTCGTGTTATCCCAGCCGTCCATCGCGATCGTTCGATCTGAAGTCGGGGAATCAAGAAGCGAAAAAACTGACGGCATGAAGAAGAGAAGATGGTTGTTCAGGAAAAACACTTTCTCGTTATTAACACACTATGCGCAAACATAACGAATCGTTACATCAACCAATGACTATGGTTCACGCAAACTATGACTCTGCTGCTTTTTCCTCTCCTGAATATGTGACAGTATCCTGGGAGTGAACTCTCTTGTAGTAGCCTCCAGCGTCTGTGAGCAAGGACGAAGATCAGAATCTGGGATCGAGCTTATCGGGTGCTGCTGCCTGCATCTCGGTTTGAGCTGCATCTCTTATCGGGGGGATGTATTTCTAATCTGGCTGCCCGTTGGCATCTGTATCATTACGTCCTATTGCCTTACATATATCGAGGCCATTTATAGGCGGTTGCTCCCTACTGCCTGAATATGGGGGTCGAATCGAAGTCCACACAACAAAGACAGATTCGTCGCAGACAGCGAGTGTACAGATCTTTCGTGCTGCAAGCACCGAAAATTTTCGCGAACCCCATTCCAGATTCTCGTAACCTAGTTACTTCGCCCCCCCTGAGCCTGACGGATCAGCAGTTGGTCGCGCAAATCTAACAGGTAAGCTGACTGAAGAATAGCAGGTTTTCCAAATGAGGTATAACTTCTTGTGGAACCAGTATTTAACAACTTCAACGTGTTTTCGTCCAGTCTTTCCCTGTGTGTGCATTCTGCGAGAATCAACCACTTGGCACGGCAAATCTGTGTTCTTCCTGTTAACTTGTTGTTCACTCTCCTTCTTCACTCTCCTTGTCCATACTTCTGCTTCACCCGCCCCATCATTCCTCCTATCTCCCCTCTCCCACCCCTCAGGCCCCCACCTTCCTCAACCCTAGATATGTCTTCTCATAGCTCTGTTTTCCACTCCACTATCTCTCCTCTCCCTGCTCCCCGCCCCATTCCCTACCAGGTCCCATCCCCACCTTCTGCCAAGCCCAGCAAACCCTCACCTTCCTCAAGCCTAAATCTGTTTTGTCATAGCTCCTCTTCCTGCTATCCTGCTCTCCTCTCCCTATTCCTCCCTTGCAGGCTGCATCCCCTCCTCCTGGCAGGCCCATCAAGTCCTCACCTTCCTCACCCCAATTTCTGCTTTCTCACTGACTCTTTTTCCTACTTTCCTGCTCTCCTCTCTCTGTTCCTCACCTCACTTCCCACCAGGCCCCATCCCCCTCTTTCTGCCAGGCCCAGCAGGCCCTCACTTTCTTCCTCAGTCTCACCTTCAACGCCCTTTCCGGCCCGCCACCTCTCTCTCCTCCCGCCCTCCTGTTTCGCCCCTCCACTCCCACTCTCCTCCCCCTCCTGCTACCCCTCCCTCGCCCTCCTCCTGCTCCCCCTCTCTGCTCTCCCTATATTTAACTCTTAGTTCCCACTCTTTTCCATCCCCGTGATTGTTCCCACTTCCTCTACCCCGCCCCTCAGGCCCCATCCCCGCCTTCTGCCAGGCCCAGCAGTCCCTCACTTACCTCAATCTCGCCTCCAACGCCCTCTCCGGCCCGCCCACCCCACTCTCCTCCCCCTCCTGCTCCGCCTCCCTAGAGATCCTCTACCTCTCTTCCAACCGCCTCTCCGGCCCCATCCCCGCTACAATCAGCTCCTTTACTCTCCTCAAGGGGCTACTCCTTGACAAGAACATGCTTACAGGAGCAATCCCAGTTGGTGTGGGCAATATGAATCATCTGCAGGGACTTGGGTTGTCGTATAACAGGCTATCGGGAAAAATTCCCGCGGTTTGGCCAACAGGCATACGGCAAGTGCTGCTGGCAGGGAATCGGCTGTCAGGGGCTGTTCCGGCCGCTCTGAGCAAGCTGAAGAGAGCCTCTTTTAATCCAGGGAATCCCAACCTATGCGGGACACCACTGCCTGCTTGTGCATAGAAATCATTATCATCCGTGCTTGTGCTTGTAATGCAATCAAAAGCAGTCACCCCTGTTCAAATTGTCACATTGTGAGGAAGGTCAGACAGACCACAGGCCTCAGGTGCGTGCTTCTATTGCTGGTACCTTCCAGCCTGTGAGGCAGTGTGGCAGTGCTGCGAGGCTCTTTAAAACCAGGGAGGGAACCCCAACCTTTGTGAGAAACCACTGCCCGCATGTGCATAGAGCCATTTCAATTAGACACCAGCAGGGAATAGGCTGTCAGGGCAGGGGTTGTTCCGGCAGCTCTGAACAAGCTGAAGCGAGGCTCGTTCAAACCAGGGAACCCCTACTTGTGTGGTGCCCCGCTGCCTGCTTATGAATAGAAAGTAGAATCATCCGTGCTTGTGCTTGTAATGCAATCAGGGTCAGTGAAAACCATCCAGATTGCCAAGTAGAGTGCACGAAAGGGGAACGGAAACTGCTTGATCCACTGTTCTACTACGTTTGAGATCGTGTGTACACGTGGGTCGGGCCAGTCTCATCGGACCATTGGATGTACGTAAGTGGCCTTTCGCCAACAGTGGTTGTTTCTCCCCTCACGAGCTTTGAGGCGACGCTGCTGATACGCTGGGTTGGGCTGGGTCACACTCGCTGTGTTCTCTGCTGTGATGTCTCAAAAGTCCATGCCACGGCGTTTGTTGCTGGTAAGAGCAGGAATCCAGGGGAATAAGACAAGTGAGGGAAATAGAGAATGTTAAGCGGAGGAGGCCTGGGCTGAGTGAGACGGGATGAGTAGGCAGGCTGAGAATTGGGGATCGAGGGGATTGAGGGGGGACGAGAGATGAGATGGAAGGCAAGGTCGGTGCGGGGGGAATTAGTCACGAGTCAGGCAGAGCGAGGTTCACTAGGTGACCATTTGGGTCGACGCAAAGGTCACCTCGTGGTTGATCCAGTGGGAGAGGAGCCACGAGTCAGGCAGAGCGAGGTTCGCTTTACTGCAAGCAAGTGGCAAGTACCGAGAAAGTGACGAGTACCCTGCAATTGAAGGGCAAGTACCCCACTAACGATTGGCGAGCAAGTACCTGCAATTGAAGAGCAAGAACCAAGATGAGAATTTCCAGTCAAGAATCGAAGCCCCCCACCCACCCACCCACCCACCCACCCACCCACCCACCCACCCACCCACCCACCCACCCACCCACCCACCCACCCACCCACCCACCCACCCACCCACCCACCCACCCACCCACCCACCCACCCACCCACCCACCCACCCACCCACCCACCCACCCACCCACCCACCCACCCACCCACCCACCCACCCACCCACCCACCCACCCACGCACCCCACCCACCCACCCACCCACGCACCCACCCACCCACCCACCCACCCACCCACCCACCCACCCACCCACCCACCCACCCACCCACCCACCCACTCACCCACCCACCCACCCACCCACCCACCCACCCACGCACCCACCCACCCACCCACCCACCCACCCACCCACCCACCCACCCACCCACCCACCCACCCACCCACCCACCCACCCACCCACCCACCCACCCACCCACCCACCCACCCACCCACCCACCCACCCACCCACGCACCCACCCACCCACCCACCCACCCACCCACGCACCCACCCACGCACCCCACCCACCCACCCACGCACCCACCCACCCACCCACCCACTCATCCCCCCACACCCACCCACTCACCCATCCCTCACCCACGCACTCACGCACCCCACGCCACACCACCCCACCCACCAGCATTTTCCATTCCACTTGATCCCCTCGGCATTAGCAGGTGGCAGCTGGAACCATCCAGTCGTTTTCCCTCGCCTTTAATCACTTCATGAACTCAACTGAAGCCTGGGAAAGGGGGGAGAAGGGGGAGGGGGGATTGGCGGGGGGGGGTGGGGGGGGGGACAGCGGGGGTGTGGGGAGTGGATTGAGAGGAGGAAGCACAGCAGCTGGAACCAGTCGTTGTCCCGTGCCTTGCTCTTGACATACTCGATTAAGGCCTGGGAGGGAGGGAAGAAGGGGAGGTGGGGGGGAGGGGGGGAGAGTGGATCAAGAGGAGGAAGCACAACAGCTGGAATTAGTCGTTGTCCCACGCCTTGTTCATCTACACGTAATAGATTAGAGCATGCAAGGGGGGAACGAAGGGGGAATGGGGAGAGTGGGGAAGGGGGGGAATGTGGGTGTTGGGTCGAGTGGAAACAAATGGCAGCTGGAACCATCCAGTCTTTGCCCGCGCCGTGTTCATCTTCACGTATTTGATCAAAGCCTTGGTGGGGGGGGAAGTGGCGGGGCGTGGGAGGGAGAAGGAGAGGTGGGGGGGGGGTGAAATCGGGTGTGGGCTACTCATGTGCGCCTTGTTCATCTTCACGTAATTCATCAAAGCCTGGGAAGGAGGAGAAGGTGGAAACGGGTTGTGTGTGAGGAGTGGATGGAGAGGAGGAAGCACAACAGCTGGAGGAATTAGTCGGTGTCCCGCGCCTTGTTCATCTTCACGTGCTCCATCAAAGCCTTGGTTGGGTGGGGGCGGGGGGGGGAGGGACGGGGGAGAAGGGCGAAAGGGGAGGAGGTGTGTGGTCCAGTCGTTACCCACGCCTTGTGTATCAGCGCCGTTGAGTCGAATCAGAACTCGGCTCATCCCTCCCCTCTGTGAATCGTTCTTACCACCCATATTAAACAGCACTATCATGAGCCGCCGGTTCCATTTGGTTCACCCAGTGTTCGTTCCGACCCACGTAAGCAAACAAAACCACGTGGCGTTGCCCTTATGACCGAACCTGCCCCGATTCAGTGTTTTATTTCACCCGCGACTTCTTGCTTCCACTTGGTCGCCTCGAGAGTCGTTGTGACGCATCTTCACCTAAATTGTCCCTCGTTCCGAGGCTCGTTTCAACGCACTTGTAACTCCTCGTTGAGTCGCTGCTTCCATTGCTCGTTTCGCGAGCCTGCATACTGTCAGAAGCGGGATATTCTGATCCGAACCGTGGATTAGGTCGTGTTATCCCAGCCGTCCATCGCGATCGTTCGATCTAAAGTCGGGGAATCGATAAGCGGCGAAAAGGCTGACGGCATGAAGAAGAGATGTCTGTTCAGGAAAAAAAGTACTTTCTCGTTTTTAACTCAATATGCGCGAATACAGCGAATCGTTACATCAACCAATGACTCTGCTGATTCTCCCGCTCCTGAGGATATGACAGTATTCTGGGAGTGAACTCCCTTCTAGTAGCGTCCAGTGTCTATGAGGAAGCGGGGTATGAATTTGGGATCATGCTTGTCGAGTGCTGCTGGCTGCGTCTCTAATCGGGCTGCCCGTTGGAATTTGTATCGCTGTTACTTCTGATTGCCTTACAAATATCGAGGCCATTTATAGGCAATGCACGTCAAGTCCACACAACAGATTCGTCGCACAAGCTGTCGCGCTACAATCCCCGCAACATTTCGCGAACCCTTTTCGGGATTCTCGTAAACCTAGTTACATCACCACCTCATAGTCCTGGCGAATTAGAAGTTGCTCGCACAAGTGTTCCCCAACGGGACCTATGCCAACGCTTGTGTCGTCCCGTTGGTCCCACGTGCTCCAACCACTGGCTTTGGGTATCCTCACCTCACCCAACCCAACTCCAACCAACCCAACCACAGCCACTTTGGGTTCTGGTGTCTGCCATACCGTATTGGTGTGTCTCGGTGGTGGTACTACACCTCTCCTGAAGCGTGACTGCCTGCCACCCCAACCAACCAAGCCCGTATGTTGCTCGCGCTGCCGTCGCATACATTCTATTCGTCCATACTGCTGCAGCGGCAGCAGCCATTCATATCATTGCCTCTGCCTTATCACTCTGACGTCACTTACGTTTAGCGCACGGGAATTGCACCCTTATACGAACCCGCAATGACTGGCTCAGTGTGGACGGCAGTCTGCGCGAATATCGCATGGCACGTGTGTGTCTTCCGACGTGGAAACTGCCACGTAGGACACTTATTGGGGGGATGTCAAGCACTCACCACCAGGACAATACCGCCTGTTATCTTGAAATCTCAGTTCGTATTGCCTCGATTCGTTCCCGTCTTACTTCCTCGCTGGAAACGCATTTCAGGTTTCACTCCGAACTTGATAGGTTATGGTTCTCACGGGAACAATTTTCGGAAGCTAGAAATCGCTTGACTCCGTGTCGCACATGGCGGACGTCGGTAGTAACCATCGAGTAGCGCGTTCCGTCACCGTTCTTCACGACGCGCTGCGCGCTCACGTTAGCACGACAGCGTGCCTCCTCCTGCTACTCCTCTTCTGCTCACCGACGTCGGCCTTCCGGCCCATATCGAGCCAGCTTGTATCGAAGCTGCATGCTTCTCGCCACGGATCCTCCGCGCAGATGGTTCCGCCTCGCGTGGCGCAACTTCTCGCCGCGCGACGGGCGGAGAGAGCATCCGCGGGGGGACGCGGGTACTACAGCCGGTCAGCGAGTTCAGCGGTGCGCGCATCCTCCGCAGCCGCGCCGCAGGCTTCGGCGGCTGACACGGCGGCTCTCACGGCGATCTTCACGGCCGCGCGGATACCTATCCCGACGAACCAGTCGAACGCGTGCACGTGGTACGGCGTGTATTGCGCCGCGGACGGCGGCGCTGTTCAGCGGTTATACCGCAACGTCTACGTCACCCCTTCTATCCAGCGGCCGCCCCCACGCACGCCTCGCCTTTGCAACAGTACTGCGCGCGTACCCGGACGAACTTTCCCCGCAACCCTCTCCGATTCTATCGGCCAGTTAACGGGTCTCGTGGCTCTCGGTCTACAGAATCTCTGGCTTGCTGGCTCGGTCCCGCAATCGTTTTCCCGGCTGACACAAATCTCGTATCTCCAGATGAGCAGTAACTGTTTCGCTGGTCCTCTTCCTGTCGCCATTTTAAGCATGCCGCGGCTTTTCGATGTGTCCGCCGCCCAGAATTTCTTCTCCGGCGGGTTACCACAAGATCCTGCTGCGTACGTGGCGACTTCGCTACAGGAACTGGATCTCGGGAATAATAGGCTGTCCGGTCCAATCCCTGCTGCCCTCGCGACGCTGCCGAGCCTTCAAGGGTTACTTCTGAACTCGAATCGGCTAACCGGGAATATCCCCCCTACTCTGCTGAAAAAGGAATCGCTTGACATAATTTTTGATCGGAACCGGCTTTCCGGCGACCTGAGCGGGCAGCAAGTAAAGTCGTCTGTTTTTCGCGTAAGCGGGAACAGGCTTTCTGGAAACTTCAACTCGATCCAGTTTAGCGCCGCGGTGTTCATCGACGTTTCCGACAATTTGTTTTCCGGCTCATTCCCGCAGATTTTGTGCCGTCAGGGCAACCAGGCAAGAACTGTTTTTTCTCGCAATCGCCTGACTGGAGCCGTTCCAGCAAACTGTTTCAATTCCGAAACTTATCCGACTGACATCCTTTTAAGCGGCAACAATTTCTCGGGCAGCTTGCAGCCGTTTTCAAACCTGCCCGGGTTTACCAGAGCTCTGGACCTGGGATTCAACAAGTTCACAGGGAGCATTCCCCAAGGCCTCACCCGTCCAGAGCTTACATACTTGGACCTCAGGGGAAACTCTCTGACAGGTGAGTTGACTGGAAAATTGCAGATCGGTCAAGTCTACCAAATGTGTGATTCAAACGTGTGTTCTTCTGTTGGGACCAACCACTCAGAACCACTCATTTGTTCTCCTCTGTTGGGTTTTCTGTTCAATCCTCCACTCTTCTCGTTCTGCTTCCCCTGCCCCCTCCCTCAGGCCCCATCAGTTAACTTCCTCCTACGCTACCTCCCCTTCCCCACACCCCCCAGTCCCCATCCCCGCCTTCTGCCAGGGCAATCAAGCCCTCATCTTCCTCACTTGCTCACTACTCTTTCTTCCTACTTTTCTGTCTCTCCCCTCCTCGCTCCTCGTCCCTCGCCCCATCATCCCCCTCAGGCCCCATCCCCGCCTTCTGCCAGGGCAACCACCAGGCCATCCGCTTCCTCGCTTACTCACCTCTTTATTTGACTCTTCCTTCCTCCCTGCTCTATCCCTGTGCTTGCTCCTACCTCCCATCCCCTCCCCCTCAGGCCCCATCCCCGCCTTCTGCCAGGGCAACCACCAGGCCATCCGCTTCCTCAATCTCGCCTCCAACGCCCTCTCCGGCCCGCCCACCCCGCTCTCCTCCCCCTCCTGCTCCGCCTCCCTCGCCTACCTCAACCTCTCCTCCAATCGCCTCTCCGGCTCCATCCCTGCTACAGTCAGCTCCTTCAATCGCCTCAAGCGCCTGTCCCTCTACAGTAACGCCCTCACGGGAGCGATCCCAGCCGGTGTGAGCAAGATGAAGCATCTGCTAACACTCAGATTGTCATACAACAACCTCACAGGTTCCATTCCCGCGGTTTGGCCGAAAAGCATAAGGCAAGTGCTGCTGGCGGGGAATCGGCTGTCAGGGCCTGTTCCAGCTGCTCTGAGCAAGCTGAAGAGAGGCTCGTTCAAACCAGGGAACGACAATCTATGCGGGAAACCGTTGCCTGCCTGTGCTTAAGGACATTTCGATGGGACAGTGAGTGGCAAAGAAATGGACTGTCAGGTGCTGTTGTTTCCACTCTGAGCAAGCTGAAGCGAGGTGAGGCTCTTTCAAACCAGGGAACGACAAATTGCCTGTGCTTAGATTAGAGCCGTTCCTGCATGTGCATATCATCACCACCCCTACTAATATAGATTTCTGCACATATATATCTCTAAATATTGGTGTCACTGCAATTATCAGCAACAGCAAGCAGCAGGGATGCTCCTTCAAGCTAGAAAACTACAGCTCGCGAAGAACACTGCTGCTTGCTTGCGTCTAGGCAGGATGACCCAATTCACCCCCACCCACACCCTTCCTTCCATGCTCGCTCGCACCGCTGCCCTTCCTTCCATGCCCCCTTTCCCCTGCCATTGATGCTGCTGCTTCTCCCAACAATGCACCACTTGCAGCCTCCTCCAACTGTGCTATCGCACCCATTTCACCACCACCACCAGCACCACCACCAGCACCAGCACCAGCACCACAATCAGCACCAGCACCAGCACCAGCACCACCACTACCAAAAGAAGCACCAGATTCCATCTCTACTTTCTTCTCCTCTGTTACTCCATCGTCCCCTTCCCCTCTTACCCCGCCTATCCCCCCCAACACAATCCCTGTCCCTCGACCCTACCTTCCGCAACCGCCCCACCCATTTCTTCTCCCCATCCCCTCTCCCTTTCACCAGTCCCCTCCTCCAGCCTCCAACGGGCGGCTCCAGGTTCGGAAGAACGCCAGAGCTGGCAGCTAGGGACGACATGGGGCACCCGGTTAGCAGCAACCCTCCACTTCTTTCCAGTAAGGTTCTTCTCAGCAAGATTCCCTCCTCATCCCAATTGCCCCATTCCCTCCACCTCCTCGCTGCCTCTCCCTCTCCTCCCCTTTTCTCAGCTTACTGTTTCTGGTCTTCCCTTTCCCTGTCTCTTCTTTTGTCCTTTCTCCCAAATCTCCCTTCATTCTATTCTTACCATCCCCTGTATTACTCGACCCAGTTAGTCCGGCCTCTTCCCATCCCACAACCGCAACCCCTCCTCTCGCCTTGTTACTCGCCCTCCCGAACCCTCCCTCGCGTTCACGTTGCCAACTGCAGCAGGGTAGCTGCAAACAACTGATCCTCCTTTCCCCCCTTCTCCTCTCTCACTGCCCTCCTACACATGGCAGCGCAGGGATCAGGATAAATCCGAAACCGAGAAAGGAACAAGAGACGGCAGAGCATGACTGGCGGAGCACAATCCGCACAGAACCGCACGGAACCGCTCAGAAATCACATGACACGCAGCCAACAAACCTTGGCGAACGTCGATGGAATGTTGTGTGCGCTCAGGCTGATTAGGCTGGGATTGGGTTGTGGTTTGATAAGAAGTTTATTGAAACAAAGTGAAGAGAGGAATGACTTACCTCATGATCATTCACCGCACAGAACCTCTCTCAACCGTGTGAGCAGAACTAACCGGGCTCATGATGACGGCCGCATATGACTGGCGGAGCACGAATGGGGGGAGAGGAGGCACCACGTGGGGCGGCCTGGGGGAGGGTGAGAGGGATGGAGAGACTGGGGGAGTAAGGGGAAGGGGAGGCGGGGGGTGGGGAGGGGTGGTGAGGTGGGGAAGGGGAAAGGGGTACGCATGGGTTGCTGTATGGGGGAGACTGACTGGCGGGGCACGAATGGGGGGAGCTGAGCAACCGCGTGGGGATGCCCGGAGGAGGGGGAGTGGGTGGATGGAAGAAGGGTGGAATTGAGGGAGGGGAGACGGGAAAGGAAAACTCCAATCCTGTCGCATTCTGAACCGAACCTACGGTGCCAAACCTGAGTTACGAGCCTGCATGCAAGAGCTTCGGATCCTGCAGCAGCACAGCCTGCACACAAAGTGAAATGATCCCAAGGACGTGCCCCAAATGTTCGTTTTTGCACAAGAAACATTACCAAAAATTACCCATTGAAACGAGCCTTTGAGACACGCCTAACTCAGCCACAGTGAAACGAGCCTTTGAGACACGCCTAACTCAGCCACAGTGAAACGAGCCTTTGAGACACGCCTAACTCATCCACATTTAACCCTTCCCCAGCATCGCCAAACCTGCACCCCGAACCTACCAGAGGTCCGAATCCTGCAGCTGCACGGCGAGCATGCCAGCTGTCACGTCCACAGAGGCCGAAACCCGTCCCCTCACCTGCCATGCTGGCACCTGTCGGTTCAAAACCCAAGGGTGGAATGGTGGGGAACGAATTAGGGTTCGCTGTTTCACATGGTACAGAAATATGAACTCGTGAGTATAAGGAAATGAGGATATGACGGTTCGAGATTGAATCAACATATTTCACCCCTCCCAAAACGACCGGGATTCATTTATCTGGGATAGCAAAAGGCTTCTGATCAGGGATGATAGTATTGGCTTGGCAGCTACGCCGGTGCTACCTACCGAAGCTGGTCGACCCCTCAAGCTCTCCCTCACCGCATTCAACTCCTCGCAGGACACTCACCAGGCACAGTACCGAATCACGATTTGAACTACAGCAGGAATACGCTAGACTACACTTATTACCTACCCGCCGGTCGATCCCGGAAGGAGTAGGATTCGCGGGTCGCGGCGGGTCTCAGCAGGCTCGACCTCACCGCCTCCCTCCTCCCAGAACGCCTAATCGTGCGCAGCCTTTGAAATGCTGTGCTAACTTGTAACGAACCCCGCTGCGTTGTTGTGATATTGTGAGTAATTGTATATTGTGTCGAGCAGTTGTAGAATTTTCGATGCTTGAACAGACTAGAACCGGCCTGAGGCCGGTTCTAGTCTGTTCAAGCATCGAAAATTGGAATGTTAGGGACCTAGGCGACTTGGAATATTGTCAAGACAGATTCGAGAATGGTAACAAGGCAGCGTGCGATGCACCGCACTTGACCTTATCACAACTATCTTCACTCTCAAATCTCTCTTCACTCTGATGAAACACATCAAATCTCTTTCCTCGCCCAAAATGCCTCACCTTCCCTGTGCAATCCCCATTCGCTCCAACCAACCACTCTGTGTATCCTCCTAACCTCAATCAGCCCAAACCAACCCAACCCAACCCAGCTCAACCAAATCAGCCAATTTCAGCCCAGCCCAGCAACCATACCCAATCCAACCAAGCCTAACCCAACGTAACCCAACCCATATCTGCATATCTCAATCAGCTCCTCCCACTTCCACCCAATAGTGGTTCCTCTCGATAGTGGTCCTTCTCTCGTCCCGCTAGTGCTGCCTCTCTGCTAGGGCGAACGAATGCCTGCCAAGCCAAGCCAAGCCAAGCCCACACGTTGCTCGCGATGCCGTCGCGTGCATTCTATTCGTCCATACTGTTGCTGCCGCTGAAGCAACACCCATTCATTTCATTGCTGTACTGTCAGAGGTCCACTGGTGATCCCCGATTGATCCTAGGGAAGGATTACAGGCTCGTTGTCCTGGGGGGTTATGGGCGCACTGACCCGCTACTTAACAAACCCTTTTATCCCAATGGTCTAGTGGTTGGGATTCTGACATGCTATCAGAGCGAAGGTCTCGGGTTCGAATCTCAGTGTGTGCACTTCGGGCATCCCAGTGCGGGGGGGTGTCAGAGGTTCACTGGTGATCCCCGATTGATCCTAGAGAAGGGTTACAGGCTCGTTGTCCTGGGGGGTTATGGGCGCACTGACCCGCTACTTAACAAGCCCTTTTATCCCAATGGTCTAGTGGTTGGGATTCTGACATGTACTGTATTTGCCTCGCTTAGGGAACGCGCATCACGATAGGGGCAAGGGCAATGACTAGCTCGGTGTGTTATGTGGACGGCCGTTGGCGAGAATATCGCGTGGCACGTGCTTGGTGTGTCTTCCGCCGTGGAAACTGCCACGTGGGACACGTATTGGGCGGATGCCGTGCGCTCAGCTCTTCCGGGAACTCACCGCCATCTTATCTTGAAAATCAGCCCGTATCGACCCTCGTCTTATTCCCTTGCTCGAAATGGAAGTTCATTTCCGGGTTAACTTTGACACTCCCTGAGGTAGGTTTTGGTTTCTCACGGTAGTACGGTAGTACTACGTTCGTAAGTTACAGTACTACCGTAGTCGCTTCACTCGGAGTCACACCTCATGGCGAACGTAGTATATCACCCTCGAGTCGCGCGTTCCGTCACCGTTCTTCACGACGCGTTGCGCGCTCACGTTAGTACGACAGCGTGCCTCCTCCTCCTACTCCTCTACTGCTCACCGACGACGGCTTTCCATTCCATATCGAGACATCCTGTACCGAAGATGCCTCCTGATCCCTGCTACTTCGCGATAGATTCTGCGTCCGACGCAGCAGGGGTGGGCGGAACCAGCAGTGACTCGTCCCCGGCGGCTTCCGCGGCTAGAAACACGGCTCTCAGGGCGGTTTTCACGGCCGCGCTGATACCTATCCCGGCGAACAAGCCGAACGGGTGCACGTGGCCCGGCGTGGCTTGCTGCGGTGGGAAGGGTGTTACGTTTCTATCCATCTCTAAGAACAGCGCCCCCCACCCACCCACGCCTCGCCTTTGCAACCGTACTGCGCGCGAACCCGGCGGAAAGTTCCCCGCAACCCTCTCCGAGTCTATCGGCCAGTTAACGGATCTCGAATTTCTCAATCTGAATGGTCTCTGGCTTTCTGGCTCAGTCCTGCAATCGTTCTCCCGGCTTACAAATCTCGTTTTCCTCGAGCTTAGCGATAACTGTTTCTCTGGTCCTCTTCCTCTCTCCATTTTTCGCACGCCGATGCTTAGTGATGTGTTCGCCGCCAATAATTTCTTCTCCGGCGGGTTACCACAACGTCCTGCTGCGTATGCGGCTAACTCATGGTCTCTGGATCTCAGGAATAATAGTCTGTCCGGCCCGATTCCTCCTGCCCTCGCGACTACGCTGATGGACCCCAGGTCGGCGATACTTTTGTCCCGGAATCGGCTAACCGGGAATATTCCTCGTGCTCTGCTCAAGAGACCGGGTTCTATTGATATAGGGCGTGTAACATTGCTGTGACCAAACCAAAAATCCGACCATTTGGTTGGGGCATGCGAATGCGAAGGGAGTAACACGGTGGCGAGGAATGCGAGATTTTCCCGCCAAATGACCACGATAACGACCAAACCGGCAAACGCCCAAACCAAGTGACCGTACGTGCGACCAGTTTGGTCTCGAAAACATCCCCGCCGTGATAGTACCCGCTGAAAAAATTTGAGGTACCTTCCACAGATTAGCATTTCGTGGTATTCCCCGAATTTTCGTCGCGAAGGCCTCTGAGGTTGCTAAACACTACCGTCTTTTCTTGACCCGTGCCCACACCCCGTTCGAATGTTGAATTTGGATTAGACCTCTAAATTATGATTACGGGGGTACGCAAGGGTGGGTGCCCCTAAATCGACCACGCAAGAACCGTGGTCATTGTAAATCTAAAGAAAACGCCCCAGGTGTTTGTTACCACTTCCCTCGCATATCGACCAACACGACCAAATGGTCGGATTTTGAGTTTGGTCACTGCAATGTTACACGCCCTTAAGTCAGAACCGCCTTTCTGGCGACCTGAGCGGGTATCAAATAATGTCCAAAACTTTTAGCGCAAGCGGGAACAGGCTGACCGGCGACTTCAACACGATCCGCTTCGGCAAAGACGTGACGGTCATCGACGTTTCAAACAATTTGTTTTCAGGCTCATTCCCGCAGATTGTGTGCCAGGGCATCGCGGCACAAACTTATTTCTCGCGCAATCGCCTCACAGGAGCCGTTCCAGCAAACTGCAAGTTTGGGGTTAATTCAATTTCTTTTTGGAATGGCCTCTTTTTGAGCCACAACAATTTCTCGGGCAGCTTGCAGCCGTTTTCGAATCTGCCCACGTATCTCAGAGCTCTGGACCTCGGATTCAACAAGTTCACAGGGAGCATTCCCCCACGCCTCGCCAGTTTACCCCAGCTTACATTCTTGGCCCTCGGGGGAAACACTCTCACAGGTGAGCTGCATTGGAAAACCGCAGATTCGACCAAATCAGTTTAATGTCAATGCAATTAACTGCTAGTTTATACACTTAGAACCCACAGTCTCACCCACTCCTTTCATGTGCGTGACTTCTTTCTTCTGATATGAACCACTCAGAACCATTCATCATCTGTTTTCTTCTTCTGAGCTTTCAAAGCACCGATCTTACCCGCTCTTTTCTTCTGCTTCCCCTACCCCATCCTCCATTCTCCATCATTAATCTTTCTACAACCTCCCCTCTCCTCATCCCTCATCATTAGGCCTCATCCCCTCCGCTGCAAGATGGGGCAGGCCCCCTCACCTTCCCCAACCCTAAACCTGTTTCTCACTCCCTCAATCTCTCCCCTCCGCTCCTCACCCCCTCAGGCCCCATCCCCGCAGGTGTGAGCAACATGAAACAGTTGCAAGTACTTGGGTTGGCATACAACAGCCTTTCGGGAAAAATACCCGCGGTTTGGCCGGGAAAGGTACGGCAAGTGCTGCTGGCGGGGAATCAGCTGTCAGGGGCTGTTCCGGCTGCTCTGAGCAAGCTGAAGCGAGGCTCTTTCAAACCAGGGAACCCCAACCTGTGCGGGAAACCGCTGCCTGCCTGTGCATAGAACCCATGCGATGGGACACTACCAGGGAACTGGTTGTCAGGGGCTGTTGTTTCGCTCTGAGCAAGCTGAAGAGAAGCAATTTCAAACCAGGGAAGCCCAACCTGTGTGGGACCCCGCTGCCTGCCTGTGCATAGAACCATTTTGATGGGACACTAATAGAGAGCCGAACGTCGGGGGCTGTTCCGGCATGTGTGAGCAAGCTAAGCAGGAACTGGTAATATGTGTGGGACCCGTCCCGCTGCATGCATGTGCTTCAAAGCATCCCTCCCCTCCTAACCTAACAACCTCCCTCGCCCTTTTCTCTCGGGCCACAAGCGAGGTTCATCAAGCACAACTCTTGCATACGACCGATAGTTTCCAGGAGGAAATGTAGGCATAGAAGTACCGTATAGTGACCCCCAGTGTGATGCCTCAAAACATGGAAGGAATGAGAGGAAATCAGAATGCATACCGTATAAGCTGCACCAGATTAACCCTTCAAGTGGCAGAGTACTAACGGTGTTGTACGAAGAAAAAGAAGAAAATAAACGAAACAAAAACTAATACGGCGTTCTTGTGGTCAGATTAGGGCAATTGAATGTTTCAAAGCTGCCCAATCGTACCCTGAAGCAGCAACACGGTCACCACTTGCCCCAGCAGCTCCCACCTCATCTGTCTCTGCCTCCACTTGTGTACCTGTCGGCATTGCTATACCCAATCCCCTTGCACCTGTCAGCGTTGCTGCTTCTCCCAACATATCATTGCTAACAACCTTTTGCAACTGTGCTATTGCACCCACCTCAGCACCACAACCACTACCAAAAGCAGCACCAGATCCCACCTCTCCTCCGTTCTCCTCTATATCTGCATCGTCCCCTTCCCCTCTAACACCTCTCACCCCATCAATCTCCCACGCTCTCTCGTCTGGACCTGGCCCACCCGAACCTCCATCCGGACCAAACGCAAAGCCTGGGCCTCCGCCGGTCCTCCTTGCAGCCTCTAACGGTGGCTCCAGGTTCGGGAGAACGCCGGAGCTGGCAGCTAGGGACGGCATGGTGCCCACAGCACAGGGCACCCAGTTAGCTGCAACCCTCCACCTCTTTCCTGGAAGGTTCTCCTCAGCAACATTCCTCCTTTCCCCATCTGCTCCTCCCATTCCACCTCCCTTTCGCCTCTTCCTCCCCTCCGTTTTCCCCGTCTCTCCTTTCCTCTTCCCATTCACAGTGTCTATCCTCTCTCCCACGCCTCCCTTCCTTCTCTTTTTACCATCCCCCTTATTGTCCGACCCGCAATCAGCCCTTTCCTTATTTGCAACAAAAACTCCTCCCTGCCGCGTGCCACTACTCGCCCGAACCACTTTCTCGATTGTACTCAGTTCCCTCTCCATCTCCCTCAGAAGCTTCTCAGTCCCTTCCTCAAAATCTGTCCCTTCCAACTCTTCCACCTCTGCCCCCTCCTCCTCACACTCCTCTTCTCTTCCCCCTTCTTCCCCTCCTTCACCTCCTCCTGTTATTCCCTCTCCTCCTCCTTCTCCATCTGCCCCACTCTCTCCCCCCTCTCCCTCCCTAGCCTCTGCCCCTGCTCTCCCTCCCTTCCCTCCTCGCCTTCTCTTCCCCCGCCCCCCTTGCTGCTTCTCCGCCACTTCCCCTCCCCGTTTTGCACTCTGAATCCCTGCTTTCCCATCTGTCTCAACCCCCTCTTTTGCACTCGGAGGCCCTCTATGGAGCCCCAAGCTCCACATTTCCATTCCGCTGTCAGTCAGAAAACCCCCCTCTAGTGCACCGCTCGCCATAAGCACGTCACCGCTCGTCACCAGAATCGCTCTCAACCGCTGTGAATGACCCAGCCAGGCAGCAGGAAAGGCACCCGCTGCTGTTAACTCACCACCGCCGCATGTTACCATAGCACTGGGAGTAACCGCACCGATGGATGTAACCACACCAGGCGCGATAGTCGGGTTACCAGCAGAGCCAGCAGCAGGATCTGCGGCCCCTCTCTCCTCCCACCACTCCACCAACCCGTGCCTCACTAGCTGCCGAATGCGGCAACTCATCGCCGCCCCTCTTCCTTTGCTCCTTTTCATCCCCTCGCCCCCTCCTTTGCTCCCCTCGCCCCCTCCTTTGCTCCTGCCTCCACGAAATCTACCTGCCTCAGACCCACCTCCTCCACCTCCACCCTTTGCCTCCCGCTTCCCCTCGCCTTCCTCTCCCCCTTCCCCTTCGTTCGGGGTCGTCCGGTCAGCGAGCGCAAGTGCCACGTCAGCAAGCACATGTGGCAGGCGGGGACAGGAAGGGAGGGCGTGCAGGCAGCGCATGGCACATCGTGCGAGGAGAGGCAGAGGAAACCACTTGCCCTGTGATGGAGAAGAGTCGTGTGATGGTAGGTCAGTGCCGCCCAGATCTAGATGCATATCGTCGTCTTCCTCCTCCCATTCTTCCTCCTCTTCTAGCTCCTCCTCCTCATCGTCGCCTTCTTCCTCTTCCTCTTGTTCCTCCTCCTCCCCCTCCTCCTCTTCCCCTTTCTCCTCCTCTTTCTCCTCTTCTTCACTCTCCTCCTCAGCATTACCACGTGGCTTTCCACCTGATTCTTCCTCCTCTTCACCAATCAACTCCATCCTATCCTCACGCCCTTGTCCCTCCCCTTCCCCTTCCCCTTTTGCTTCCCCTTCGTCCTCCTCCTCTTCCTCTTGCTCCTCCTCTTCCTCCTCCCCCTCCTCCTTCTCCTCCTCCTTCCCTCCCCACTTCCACACCACCACCGATTTTTGCACTGCCGTTTTCATCCCTCCTCTCTCCCCGCCCCCCTCCTCCCCTTCTTCCTCTTCCAACTCCCCTTCCATTAGCAACCACTCCATACACTGCATAATCTCCCTCCATTCCTCTTCATCCCTCCATTCCCCTTCTTCCCCCCTCCCCTCCCCAACCTCTCCCCCTCCACCCCTTACCGCACACACCCCCTCACCACCCCTCCACCCCTCCGTCCCCTCACCACCCACCCCCCTGCTCCCGCCCCTCACAACCACCGCTATAAGCTCATTCACTATATGCGACAGTAACGCAGCTGGTAACCCTCTTATATGATCCAACACCTCCCAAACCGCCTCTTCTAACCCTTCCAAATCTTCTCCTCTTTCCCTTCCCCCTCCTCCCCCCGTTTGTGCCCCCCTTTCCTCACCCACACCGCCCGGGCCACCCTTATCCGCGTTATAAGCAGCATTCACGACTCTCCTAAGCTGCCTCAGCAGCAGAGCAGCGAAATCGCCCATGGACCGCTCTGCACACCTCCGTAACTCTCTCAACTGCGCCTTCCTCTGCCTGGCCGGGTGCTGCATATGCTTCCCCACCATAATCGAATCATCAGGCTCAGACGCTGCTGCGAACGCCAATGTCGCAGCAGCAGCCGCAGCGGCAGAGTCAGCAGCAGCAGAATTAGCAGCAGCAGCAGCGGCGGTGGCAGAATCAGCAGCAGCACCAGCATCACCACCACCACCACCACCACCAGCAGCAGCATCACCGGCAGCAGCAGGTTTGGGGCTGGCAGGAAACTTGCGCTTAGCATTGGCATTGGCATTAGCGCGGGCAGCAGCAGTGGCGGTGGTGGCGGTGAGTCGTCTGAAGGAGGAGAACTTTCCCTCCGCATCCTCGCTGCCTGCTGCTAGCATGGCTGCTTGCCTGCTCCAGTAGTTGCTCACTAACCACCCCAGGGCCTGGAGTGGAGATGGGGGAATGAAGGGAGGGGATGGGGGAAGGGGAGGGGGAAGGGGAGAGGGAGGGGACGGTCGTCTGAAGGAGGAGAACTTGCCCTCTGCATCCTCGCTGCCTGCTGCTAGCATAGCCGCCTGCCTGCTCCAGTAGTTGCTCACTAGCCAACCAAGAGCCTGGGGTGAGAAGAGGGGGGAAGGGGAAGGGGCAGAATGAGAATGAGAGCGTGGGCAGCAGAGCGGGCAGCGGTGGTGGTGGCGGTGAGTCGTCTGAAGGAGGAGAACTTTCCCTCCGCATCCTCGCTGCCTGCTGCCAGCATGGCTGCTTGCCTGATCCAATAGTTGCTCACTAGCCACCCTAGCACCTTGGGGTGAGACAAGGGCGGAAGGGGAGGGGAGGGGCGAAAGGTGAAGAACGAAAAAGGTGGGTTGCCCTCTGCTACGCATCCGAATTGCCTGCTGAAACCATGGCTGCTTGCCTGCTCCAGTAGTTTCTCACTAGCCAGCCCAGCGCCTGGGGTGAGAAGAGGGGGAATCGGATGAATGAGAGGAAACGCGAGAAGTTGGGGAACGAGAGGGAGAGAGGTAAATGCTCACCAGACACAAGTACTATGATACATGGGCGCTACATTTGAGAATTCTCCAAAGTTACACTGCGATATATGGGCCAGCGCCCATAAGCACCAACCACACCCCTCCCTCTCACCCAAGTCCTTCGCACCCTATGTCAATCTCTCTCCCTCTCTCAACCACCAACCACACCCCTCCCTCTCACCTGAGTGACAGCCAGTCGCAGCACCGGCAGCTGCAGCAGGCGATTGTGGGCCAGAGCTGTGGAACGGAGGGGAGAAAGACAGGGAAGAAAAGGGGGACGGAGGGTGGAAAAGAGGAGTGAGGAGGGAGGGGAAGGGAAGGATGGTACCGGGAGCTTCAGCAGGGAGAGTGGGAGTGAAGGATGGAGGAAGGAGAAGTATAGTATGCGGGGTTTTTTGAGTCGACTCAAAAATCGTCTCATCACACATGACGTATAGTACGCAAGGTTTCCACACTGGAAGTTGCAGCAGGCGTTTGTGGGCCAGCCAGGGCGGTGCAGGGGAAGGGGGACAGGGAAGAGAGGCGGAAGGTGAAAATAAAGTGGAGTGAGGAGGGAACGGAAGGGAGGATGGTACGGGAAATTATCAGCTCTGGCAGTGTTCGAACCACAGTGTTTGGTTTGGAATGTAGTCCATTCCACTGTGGTATAGGCTGGGTAACTGTAAGGCTGGTCTTTGCCCTACTGAGCCTTACAGTCACATGACAGTGTAACGAGACTGTGCCCTACTGAGTCCAGCCGTACAACGTCGCATGTCCACCGGCAGTCGCGGACTGTCCACATGAGCCGCCACCCGCACCACCAACCAACCTTATCCAGTGCTGGGTTGATTAATATTGTCACATTGTGACAGAGAGTGTTCCAGAGAGTGTAGCACATTGAATTCTACGGCGCTGACCAAGGCCTCACGGCCAAAACGCGTACGCCTACATTCTTCACTAAAAGTTGGACTTACCAAGTCCTGAATCTACCTTTTTTCCCACTACCCAAAGCTTTTAGTTAAGAATTCTGAGGAGACCACTCCGCTTGCTGCGGTTCGAATCCACATCTTCTTGCGCATTGTGACAGAGAGTGTTCCAGTGTAGCACATTCCAAACCGTTACCCCACCTAACTCCATTACACCATAGCACATCCCAGCCTTACTCACAATGCCTGACGTCCACCAGCAGTCTTGGAATGCCCACATGTGCCGCCACCCTCACCACCGACCGGCCGAGAGCCGGGTTGCGATTGTCACACAGACCACTCACAAACCTACACGTGGCAGTGCGTGGAAGAAAGGGGAGAAGCACAAAACGGACCAACTGAAAATTCCAATGAAGACCTGTCGACTTGTGAACCCTCAAGACCCCTCACCACCCCTCCAGAATACGAACCGACACGTGGGAAGGAATCAGGATTACGAAAGAAGGCACAAACTGCGGCAGCGCATGACTGGTGAAGCACGAACCGAACAGAACCTCTCAGCAGCACTTACACCACACGCAAATGGTACAAGCCGTGAGAGATATGGTAAATTGTGTGTGTTAGGCTATGGCTGACTCACTCACTCACTCACTCACTCTCTCACTCAGTCAGGGAGTGACTGACGCGATGATCACAGCAGGGCATGACTCACACTGTCAGAGCACGCACCGCACAGAACCCCTCATAAATCCCATGACTGCAAACGGCTAGGCTGTTGCAAAAGTGTGACATGGCACAGCATGTGTGTTGGGCTAAGGATGATCGACTGACCTGATGATCACGGCCGCATATGATTGGCGGAGCACGAATGGGGGGAGCGGAGGCACCGCGCTGGGTGGCCTGAAAGAAGGGGGGATGGGAGAATGGGATGACTGTCGGGACCCATCCCTTCTATTCCATGTGGATTGGAGGAAGAAATGTAGGGACGGATTCTAAACGGAAACCCCATGTTGGGGGGCATCGCATTTAAATGTTGACAATAGGAGTGGGGGAGGGAGAGGGAAAGGAGAGAAGCACCTCACCCAACCGCATTCAAACACAAAGTTTTTAAACACGCCCTGAACATAGCCCCTCCCACAGCACCCATTCCAAACCTAAGTCACCCGAACGTACGGCTCCGAACCTGCACCCCCCGACCTGCATCCCCGAACCTTCATCCCAAGACATGCATTTCCGAACCTGCATCTCCGAGCCTACCAGAGGTCTGGGTCCTGCAGCTGCACGGCGAGCATGCCAGCTGTCACGTCCACAGAGGCCGGGACCCTTCCCCTGATCTGCCATGCTGCCACCTGGCATATCAAAACGTGGGGAGAATCCCAAGGGTGGAATGGAGGGGACGAGAGGGGTTTAAGGTTTAAACGGGTGTAGAAGTACGACGAGTAAACGCGACGTGGAATACTTTTGAGTCGACTCAAAAATCGTCTCATCACACGCGGATATAGAAGTACGACGAATACACGCGACGTGAAATATGCGGAACTGAGATTACGAATTTTTCGACTTCTACTCTCACTGAGTCCCGATCCTCCCGGGGAGGATCAACATTCGACAGTCACATAGCCGCTATCCCCAAAATAAATCAGAACCTCATCGCAGGTACTTATATTGGATATAACGGCTACCAATCAAGCCCTCGCTCACCCCTCCCAGGACGCCCACAAGACGTGATAGCGGATGACGGATCACACTACAGCGGGGATACAGCTGCACCTACCACCCACCCGGTCAATCCCGAAGGAGATGGACTCGCGGGTAGCGGCGGGTCCCAGCAGGCTCGACCGCACCGCCTCCCACTCCTCCCACGAGGCCCATGGCACGTGGCGCAGCGCTAGAGACATAAAAATACCCTGTAAGAAATGCTGCTGTGAAGGATGCTGTTGCGGTAAATTCGACCCAGGATAAGGGCTTCTATCCTTCTACTAGTGCTGGCCTGGTGTCTAAAATCGGATGTTCGATCACGGTGCTCCTCACGGCAGTTCGACTACTAATGCTCTATTTGCTCTATTCTACACCCAGTGCCTCATGAAGGACCTAGTTGATTCCTTACCTCTTCAGGGACTGCGAGCGGGAAAGGGTAACTAGCCCCTGTCGAGCGAAAGAGTCTGGGTTCTAGGAGACTCGTGGGATTGCCGGGAGGAATTGAGAAGGGTGACATCAGCATGTCGTCAATATCGAGGACAACAGGCAGGTTGGGCTGAACCGGAGTTCGCTCATCAATGTAGGCAGGTGAAGAGCGGTTTAAAATGGTGATTGATTCACCCAGGAAAGCATCTGTTATCAGATGAACAGTAGATGCTTAGGGATGCCATGCATCAGATATTGAAATTTACCAACTGAAGATAAAATACTGGTAGGACTTGGAAGGAGAGTACATATAATGGAAAGGGGCCTAATATGCAAGTCTTGTGTCGCAGACAGAGCACGACAACATCGTAGAAATACCCAAAACAATTACAATATGCAGTACATTGAACATCAGCTCCAGGTGGCTTAGGGAAGTCTTGAATGAAACTGAACTACGTAATGCTGTACACTAACTTTCCATGCAATAAAATTACTGCATAGAGTTGCTTACTCATCCTCCTGACAACCGCACATTAAAGCCAAACTTAATAACCACTCCAGGAGGGGCCATCATCCATAGACACCCGAATAAAAAGGACTAGAGTGCCGCTGAGCACAATGAAGGCCGCAAGGGTGAAGAGCGTGGCTCCGAGAGTTATGAGGTGGCCGTGGTGCAGGATGAATGGGATTGCAACACTGCCAATCTGGGGGAGTTCGGGGTAAGGGATTGAAGTTTTGGTGAGTAAAGGGGGCCACACATGAAGAGCATGGCTCCGAGAGTCATGAGGTGGCCGTGGCGGAGGATGAATGGAATGGCAACACTGCCAATCTGAGGGTTTTGGGTTTGAGTTTACGGAGGAAAGGGAGCAAGGGAGAAGAGCAAAGACGTGGCTCTGAGAGTCATGAGGTGGGCGTGGTGGAGGATAAAGGGAATGGCAACACTGCCAAATTTGAGAGTGAGGATTCTAACGAGAAACGAAAACAGAGTGAGGATGCTGTGGAGAGAAAGAACATGGGGGGGGGGACTTACAGAGGAGAAGCCAGTAAGGAACTTGGCTGCTTGCATGGCAGAGGCGGTAGTTAATAGTAGCAGCGGGAAATGGGGCAGGAGCAGGGGAGTGTGGGTGCGGGGAGGGGGTGGAACTTACAGAGGAGAAGCCAGTGAGGAACTTGGCTGCATCTTGCCACCTGAGGGGAGAGATGGGGTATGCGACAGAGGATTGAGCGAACGAATTGGGAAGGGGAAGGAAGGCCAAGGAAGAGGAAGATGAGCGATTCATGATAGCACAGGAGAGAGACAAGAGGAGGGCAGAGGATGATGAAGAATCCCCTACAGCTACACACTACAATCACACTCATCAAAATCGAGCTCTTACATATTTTCTTCCACAGCTTGTGCGTAAGCAGAATAATCATCCAATTAAAAACCCAGTGCAAATTCACAATCTACAGTCACACCCGCTCAATACTGTCCCACTCACTCGTTGTCTGTGCCCATGAGAAAGAAGTCTGAGGAATCACCAGTGGAGAAGAAGAGGCACGGCATGGGCAGTATCAGGTACATGAGGGCTGGAGGGGTGTACAGGGGTGGAGAGGGGTGTTGTGGGTTTGCGGCAAGGCCATAACGGCATGGCATGAGAAAGAAGTCAGAAGAGTCACCAGTGGAGAAGAAGAGGCATGGCATGGGCAGTATCAGGTACATGAGCGCTGGGGAGGGGTGTACAGGGGTGGAGAGGGGTGTTGTGGGTTTGTGGCACGGCAAGAGAGGCATGGCATGGGCAGTATCAGGTACATGAGCGCTGATGATGCATGGGGGTATGGTGGGGAAGGAAAGGTAGGAAACGGACAGGTAGGAACGGAAGGCTCAGGATGGGGAGTGAGGTTCTTTTTTTTTAGCCTGAGAAGAGGCATGGCATGGGCATGGCATGGGCATCATCAGATGCATCAGAGCTGGGAGATTGTATGGGCAAGGGTGGGCGGGGAGGAGAAGGGTTGGGGTTCAGCACAGAAGAGGCAGTGGCAGTCAGGTACATCCGAGCTGCGAGGGAAGTTGTATGGTGGTGGAAAGTAGATTCGACCCAGATCACCAGACTTAACTCGTTCTAGTGTCCACTAATCTATGCTTAGGCGAGGTAGGGATTGAGTAACCAAAGAAAATGTCATTCCAAGACTGAGCGTACGCGCGTTTCGGCCGATGGCCTTCGTCAGCGCTCGAGTACAGAAGAGGCAGTGACACTCAGGTACATCAGAGCTGGGAGGCAAGTTGTACGGTGGTGGGGGAGCGGGGGGAAGAGACGATGGGGAGAAGACTTTGCATAGCCTAAAAAGCAGCGGCACCGCACTGGCAGTATCAGGTACGGGGGGGTACAGGGGAGCAGGGAGAGGTGTTGCTGGTCTATGACAAAAGAGGCATGGCATGGCATGGCATGGCATGGCATGGCATGGCATGTATGGTGTCAGGTCAGGTACATGAGAGGTGGCAAGAAGTTGGTGCCGGGGATGGTGGGGTAAGGGGACGGGAACATGAAGGAGGGGCGATATAAAGGGGCGAATTCAATTCAGTGATTGGGCAATGTACCTGACAGCATTGGCCACCAGTTGTTGTAGAGCACACATCCCAGCCGAGACACGAAATGGCTTCTGAGTTTACTCAAAAGTCCCCGGGCAGGCATACTAGAACTATCTAATAGGATTTGTACCTGACAGCATTGGCCACCAGTTGTTGTAGAGCACACATCCCAGCAGACTTTTGAGTCGACTCAAAAGTCAGCAGAGACACGAGGTGACATCTGAGTCGACTCAGAAGTCCCCAGGGAGGCACATTAGAGCTGGTGGGGGTTGGGCATTGTACCTGAGAGCATTGGCCACCAGTTGTTGTAGAGCACACATCCCAGCAGCTGCAAGCCTATGCCCAGTGAGAAGAGAAACGCCAAACCTGCGAGTCTGCGAGAGGAGAGAGCGGAGTGAGGAGAGAGGAGAGAGTGGAGTGAGGAGAGAGGAGAGAGGAGAGAGGAGAGAGGAGAGAGGAGAGGGGAGAGAGGAGAGAGGAGAGGGGAGAGAGTGGAGAGAGAAGACAAGAGAGTGGATAGAGGAGAGAGTAGAAAGGAGAGAGTGGAGAGAGACAAGAGAAGAGGGGAGAGAGGAGAGAGAAGTGAGGAGAGAGTAGAGAGGAGGAGAAAGAGGGAATGACAACAGAGTGGATGGCATCTCAGAAGGTGGAATAGGTGGAGGCTAACATAGAGAATGGGAGCAGGAAGAAATCAAGCGCGACCAGGCAGGCGCAAGGATTATCAGATGGCTATTTTTGAGGCGCCTAAAAAAAGGGAAGAGCATGAAAGCAAGCGCGAGCAGGCACAAGGGTTATCAGAAGGAGGAAGAAGGGAGAGTGATGGGGCAACGGACGGAAAAGGGACAGGGAAGCAGGAAAGCAAGTAAAGGGAGACGGAGCTCACGCTGAGAAGAGACCAGGAGGTGGCAGCAGCAGGCACGCCGGGCAGCGTGGAAACGCGTGGGGGCGGCGATATAAGTGTGGGGGGAGTGGGAGCGGGGTGACGGCAGCCGGAAGAAAGAGGGAGAAGGAGAGGGAGAACAGTGGAACGAAAGAGGGAGGAAGGAGGGAGGAAGGAGGGAGGCAGGAAGGAGGAAGGTAGGAGGAAGGAAGGAGGAAGGAGGGAGGAAGGAAGGAGGAAGGAGGGAGGAAGGAGACACACAGACGCAGCAGGGAGATAGAAAGGGATTGATGAAGTAGCCGAATGGCTATGAGATGGCATGGGTGCAACAAGACGAGAGTGAGGTAGGTAGGGGAGAGTATGGTGTTTCTGGAGATCCTAAAAAAGAGCGGACGGATGGTGATGAGGTGAACAGGTGGCATGGGTGCAACGAGAGTGAAGTGGGGGAGAGCATGGTGTTTCTGCTGAAATCGCTTTTGAGAATTCTCAGAAGTGATTTGAAGTAGGGGGGAGTATGGCGTTTCTGGAGGGCCTCAAAAAGAGCGGACGGATGGTGATGAGGTGAACAGGTGGCATGGGGGTACGAGTGGGGAAGGGGAGGGAAGGTACGGAGCTTCTAAGGCGCCTTAGGAAACGGGATGGATGATGGTGAGGTGACAGGCGCGCAGGTGGACAGTTGGCATGGGTATGAGCGAGGGAGGGCTATGGTGGGCTGAAATGGGGAGGGATTGATGTGAGTAAAGGGATGTCTGAACTGAAGGGGACGGATGGCCACAAAGTGGATAGGTCGCATGGGTAAAAGCGAAAATGGGCAAGGTGTTTCTGAGGAGGCTCAACAGAAAGGGACGGATGATGATGAAGTGGACAAGTGGACACGTGAACAGGTGGCATGGGAAAGAGCTAGGGTAAGGTATGGTGGTGCGTTGGTAAGCAGAGATGCAGAGGAGTAAAGGGATGACTAATGAAATTGGAAAAGCCTTACCGCCCGTCGTCACGGCCATTTTGGCGCGCTTGTAGCGAATCTCGCAGAGAGGATAACGGCAAACTGAAACTTCTGGGTCCACTTAAAACGGATTACAGTAAGCTGAACTTTCCACGTCCAGGCGAAAGGAGGGAAGGCACCAAGGATTTCCAGAAAAGTAAACCGGACCTTCCTTTTGAAAAGCTGGATACCAAAATACCGAGACGAGGAATGGCTGTCTCGTCTTAGTCGACTCAAAAGGTTACGAGGAGTTAACCCAATCACTCGACTTTATCAATTCATTCGGAACAAACCAGGGAGATTACAAGGCTAGAATCTAAAAACGCGGAACGGTTATCGCTAA